AGGTGATGCTTGGAGGTATCGCTCGCTGCTAAAGGCTTGTCGTGGAACGGGGATTGAACTCACGTGGGCCAGGTTCACAAGGCGGAATCGGAATATTGATTTATTGCTGGAGGAATCCGATGAGCTGTAAAGTTATTTTTCGCAGATGTCCAGTAAGGAGCACGGGGTCAGAACGTCACAACAACAATAATACAAAAACAACAATAGGTAGTGCAAAGTACAGGAAAGGTAAGCAAATCACAAAAAGAGTACAAATATAACTAATGCATTTTTATTTTACCAGGTAAGGCGCACTGAGCTATTGGCTTCTTTTTTTAGGAGCAACCTGGTCACAAATGACAGCGCAACAAAGTGGCACGTCACGTGGAAATTTATGGCCGCCAAATAATCATCAGAACAATAATCTAATCGCGCGTTTCAAAGTCTGGCAATGCCGCTAACCGCCGCGCGACCACTTCACTTCACCCGTTGGTCATGAAGCATCAGACAACGGCACAATTCACTCTGGGGCGGCCCTTACTCTCCGTTTTAGCTTCGCGAGCGGCGTCATTAACAAGACGCGGGGGTTTTTATTTAATTTTTCCCTTCCCTTGACATCGTCGTATCTCGCTTGCTCGCGCTCTCTCTCTCCCACTTTGTTTTTGCGTCTTGTTTTGGACGCCATAAAGAAAATGAAAGCGAATAAAGCAACTCATTCGTTTAATGTAACCTCATTTGCGCGGGCTCCAATCAACGTAATGATAACCACGCAAATAAAGAGGGCGACGCGCGCTAGGATTAGGCTCTCTCAATCGACGGGACGAACGCAATCGTCAGATTAATTACGTTACGCTATGGATTAATTGTGTCCGCCCCCCCCTCCGCCCCCTCCCCCAGCACTTCCCCCTCATTCTCTCCGCGACTAATCGTACTGGAGCGGGCCGATATCGACGAACGTGGCGCAAGCGAAACCAAACCCGGGCAACCGTCTAAAGAGGTCAGAGGTCAACGAAAACAATCGTTTGGTTTTGTGAGAATTCTTGAGCAGAACTCGGGAGATTACGACTGACGCCCTCTCGATCGGCGGATTCACACTGCTCGCACTTTAACGACTCATTAACGACTCATTAACTACTTGGCTCCAAATGTAGCCAACTATCTCCATCCGTGAATGGGCTCCATGACATTTATCTAACGTTGACCATATTCTCTGGTTGACTTTTTTTTGCACTTTAGACCTCATCGTCGTCATCGTCACCGTAAGGAGAGGCTGCCCCCGAACGCTGCGGTGAAGGTTTGCACGGAAGACACGTCACTAACAAAACATCAGTTGTCATCTATCTGCTGCTGGACAAAAGCCTCGCCCCAACAAAATCACCACCACCTCTCACGGTCCTACGATGCAACAATCCACCGAGCATCCCGCAACACGAGCTGATCTCGTCGCTGCGTCCGCTCGTCAGACGTCCGTCTCAGGCGAGCTCTCTCCTTTTGGCTGCTACCCCTTGCTCAGTCTCAACTACCGAGCATTGTCCCTTCTAGCGAAGTGTTCTCCGTAAGCGCGCTTTGGCATTTCTTAACATAAAAAGCTCTCGCAAGCCAAAATCAGAGTAAATCGTTCAAAAACGACGGCGCGATGATTAATGCCGATAACTCCAAAAACACAGAAATGGTCACAAGGCTCCAGTGAGCCTCCGTGTCTCACCGGGGGTGGTTGAGTCGGTAATGGCCCTAAGTTGGAAATCTTTACCTACCGCAGTAATAGTCATAATTGCGCAAAACCCTTTTTTTTTAAGGAAAGTAATTTTTTAAATTGCTCCCCCTCCCCGCCTGCCATATTCTGTACCCACCCCCACCACCACCCACACCCTCCCCCCCCCCACCACCACCACCCCCACCACCACCGCCAGCACAGCCCCTGCCGCCCGCTTCCCCTCCCGCCACGGCCTGTTTTTGTACGCCGGCTAATTGTACATATGTTGAGCTGATACGGCTCCCAGCACGAAGAGAGCAACGAACTTGACTGTTTAATGATCAGCCAGGGGACCCTTCTCAGGCGCGTCCCGACGGTGCCCACGTCTACTTAACAACTGCGCACGCACGCAGGGAATATCTCTATCTTTATCCCACGCCCCCCCGCTTCCACCATTGTGCTCGTCCCCTCTCCGCATTAAATTATATATTTTTTTACACTTTTCTCACCGACACCTTCCATTGCAGCAAAATTTCAAAGCGGACGCTCTGGGCAGAAATATGTAAATGTGAGAGCGCCAGTGGCGGTGGCGGCGGTTGCGGCCGCAGGGGCGGTGGGCGCGCCTACCCGCGTTGGCTCGAATTACAGCCCGTTACCGTTTACGCCAGCCGTGAACGTCGGCCTTTGTGTTTTTTTTTTCTTCCCCGAAATGATTTTTCTAACCCTCCCTCGCCGCTGTTGGCCGCGTGCCCCGTTTACCAGAAAATCAATACGAGCGCCGGATTTTACGTTCAAAATTTGATAGAAGGCCGAGGAAGTCGCAGAGCACTTATTTAAGTTCCGCTAAAAAAAACGGTTGTTCAGCTCTGCGCACGCGCCCGCGCGCTCTTTCCCCCCCCCCCCCCCCCACCGGCCGCTCGCTTTCTCCGCGGCGTGAGCGCGCGAAACCGAAGGGTGCGGGGGGGGGAGGCTTTGAGATTCCGGCGGCGACCTCGCGACGAAGCGCGCGGCGGCGGCCTTCGTCGGAAGGAAATTCAAGTGGAGGATAAAAGCGGCAGAAAAAAAAAACCGCAGGACCGGAGGAAGCTGTTCAGTGGTGGCATCTGCGCGATCAATTGCCCCTGCAGGGCACTAACCGTGACACTCCCACAGTGACGGCCGCCAAAGTCTTGTCGTGCACAAGCCAGACGGCCATCACCTCTCGACCTACGTGAAAGCGATGGCTTTGATTTTACCCAGCAGAAGCTTCTGTGAGTCTCAAGCCTCTCTTTTTTTTCCGCCACGAGGGTCCTGCTACGTCGAGACGTTTGGCCAAATTCCACCGATAGGTATTTGGCTTTGTGTGGGAGGAAACTAGGGAAAGCCGAACGGTACCCACGCACATAAGACGAAATGACATTCAAAGCTCTGCACAGATTGATTCAAGAAATGAATGTAAGTACTCAGCCAAGTCTACAACTTGTGATATTTCCAGGCAGTCTCAAATCCCAAGTATTTAACCAAGCTGAGCCCTGTGCCCATCTTCCGAGTTCTGGCAAAATCGGGCAGATTCAGGGTGATTTTCATAATTACGGTTTTTGGGTTAGATCGGGTAAGTATAAATGTGTCGTAACCCTTCACCACCCGACACAGCCAGTAAAGTTTGTTACGTAAACAACGCGCCAATTAGCTACTACTTCAGCCCACCAGTGTGTTGGAGAGTAAACCCACAACATTTACTGGATTTATTTGATCTAACCCAAAAACCTTTATTATCAGTAACATTGGTCACAAAAGCCTGCGTGTTAAACGGGGTGATTTTGTCGTCGGCAAAATACGGATGTCATTCAAAGCTAGTATATGTCTTGAGACATATACTCCCTTTCGTGACGAGTGGATTGATAAAAACATGTAGCACGTGGGAAAGTGACCAGGCCACGTTACTGACCCACACCACCCTTTCACGTGTGCTGCTCAGACTTTTAATAGACGCTCACTAACAACACTAGCCTTGGCCGTCCACGGGGGAGCCTTGTTTTGTCCACATAACATCACACACTAATAAAAACGGAACATTCCCGACCCGGAGAAAATGAACGTGAACGTGTAACGACGCAAACGTCACAGCTCTTCCGCTGGTCGCACAGCGACGATATCCTGCGAGAGGGAAGCCTCCGGAAAGAATGTTTTTTATTAAAAGAGAAAACCTGTTGCTCTGAGGCCCCGGGGCTCCCAACGTTGATTTTTTTCACCAGCCACGCGGGCCAAGGGGGCCTCGCGAGGTCAGAGCGCTGAGCTGGCACCGCTGAGATCCTGAAGTTCCAATTTGGGTTTCTGCTGCCCATAATTTTAATTTTTTCAGAACTGATTTTTGTCTTTCGTTTGTTGTTGTCCTTGCCCCGCACCTCCGATTGGTTTGGTTGGCTACGTACGGCGCGGAAGAAGTTCAACGTAGGTACGTATGTTAAAGCGAGTCCTCAAGCTTGGTGGAATTTATGGTCTCAGCCCCGGTCACCATTGACAGTACAAACACAAAAAACTCTACTGTTATTAAATTTTGTTCAGCATTTGAAAAAAACACATCAGTTTGAATGTCACGTGACAAACGTTGCTGCCTGTAACGTGGCCGATTGGAAATTGCTGCCTTCTACGGTTCTACGAGCAGAGGGCACTCTCAGGGTTCACGGAAGTAGTTCTATGATATCCACTTCTGGTGGTGTTCTACGACTGTCCGATTGCACGCACGATACGATAATAAATCCCACTGCCGGACACCAACAATATCGTGGCCTTATAAGGTAGCAGAGTAACACTGTACTTGCCAAGCCTCGTACTTATTTAAACCATTTCACCGCACACCAGTTGCCTGGGTGGGCAAGCGTGGTACAAAGATCGCTGATGTAGCTCTACTGGATTTGTTTTTCTCCGGATAATCAAGAAGTGAAAAAAAACCCAAAAAAAACGTCACTCAATGAAGATTCGTCCAAACTTACAGTGACTTAAACCAAACTAAATAATGTTTATTTCACCAGCTAAAAATCCACAGAGCTATATAGCTCTTTTTCCTAAGTGACCTGGCCAATAAGTGGCTTATCATGTGTAAATTTATAGCAGAAGCCAAATACTCTAAACGCTCGTTGATTCTTAAATGTGGAGGGAAAAACCTGAGGACCTGGAGAAAAATACACGCGACCACGTAGAGAGAGAGACAAGCAAACTCCAAATATACGGGCATCATTAGGGTCGGGATCAAACCCACGACCTCCTGCATACCAGGCGAGGTAGTTAACATCTTGACACCGTGGCGGCGAGCCCAGCGCCTTGCCGCTCCACACCGCCCCTCACTCACCGAGGGGGCAGGCACAGCCGGCTGCCCTCCCGGGCGGGAAGGCTCTTCGGGCATTGCTCCCTCCTCCTCTTCCTCCTCCTCTTCCTCCTCCTCCAGTTCTTCCGTCCCCCTGCCCTCCTCCATCCGCTCGGCGTCCTCCTGCTGTGAACGAGATTGCGTTGGCGAGATGCGCCGGCCTGTGTGGAGGCGCGCGTACACATGCACACTGACACGTGCGCACGCGTGTGTATAGGGGAGCGCGCTGCACTACGAACCCGGCAACCCGGGTTCGACTCCCGCTCACAGCCAACACCAATGACGATTAATTATCTGAACCGGTCCTGGGCCTCCCTGAGGTCGACTCAGCCTCAAATGAGTACCCGGTGCGGTGTATAAACATCGCCACTGGGCAGACAAATGCGGCTGGGCGTGTTGCTGGCCACCCACCCCCTCGTGTGCCGTGCCGGCCTTCATAGGTGCTCGCTAACAGCATTTGCCCCAACAGTCTGCTAAGGCTATACGGGGGATCTTTGTCTTTTGTATGTGTATGTGTCCTTGCGTGCAAAATGTACGCACCGGACCGCATCAGTGCCAAGAAGAACAATCCCTTTATTTATCCAGGAAAGCCTCACTGAGTCTCCAGACTCTTCTTAGGAGGGTCCTTCAGTGGCATGTTCAGCCAATTCCATTCACAAGTGTTTGGTTTTCTCTCACAAGCCAGAGGCCCCAGAGAGAACTGACGCATATGCCCGATGTGATAACACTCGAAGCTCCACACAGATGAATTATAGAATCCATTGCTGTGCTGCCTTCTCCTGACCGCCTCGTGAGTCTAGCTTACAATACCTACTGTTCCCAGGCGGTCTCCCATCCGAGTGCTAACCAGGCCCAAACATACTTAGTCTCCGAGATCGCAACAAGATCGGGCGGTTTGGGGTGCGAGAATGGGAGGGGGGGGATTAGAAGGGAGGGAGGTTTGGGAGGGTTGGGAGGGTGTGTTGGGAGGGAGTGACAGAGGGAACGAGGGAGGGAGCGACGGAGGGAACGAGGGAGGGAGGGAGTGAGGGGGGGGGGAAGGGGGGGAGGGGGGGAGGGAGGGTCCAGAGCCCGCGGAGGAATTAGGAATTACGCGTCGTTACGCAGCCGGGCAAGGAACGACAAGGCCCCTTTAACGAGGGCTCGGCATCCTCTTAACGAGATGCAAATCCGGGCTAATTGCGCGCCCCTTGGCAAAATTATGCCGCCATTAAGCACAACACAATCAAACCTCTTTACGGTAACCGCTTTACTTTTTTTTTACCAAGACAATGACAAATCAAAACAGATTTTTTTTCCTTTTTGCTCGCTTACGTGGGAGCGGTGAGCTCATCTCAATTATCAATCGCTGAATGTCACACTCCTGCCATTGACACGTCCCTCTCGCAGCGGCGCCTTGTGGGGTGGAGCGGGCGAGCGGGCGGGAGGCGAGGGTGTGAGGTGTGTTCGTTAGTTACCACGGCAACGGTCGCGTACCTGCCGCGAGTCGTCTGTCTCCGCGCAGTCGGGCTGCTCGGCGCTGTTCCCACTGCACGCGCGCGTGAACAAAGACAAGGAGCACCCGTATAGCCTCATCAGACTGTTGGGGCGAGCGCGAGGGCATATGAAGGCTGGCACAGCGGGTGAATGGGTGGTGTGGCCAGCAACGCGCCCAGCCCACTGCTGATGCTTACACACCGTACCAGTTACTCATTTAAGGCTGAATCGACCCAGAACCAGCTCAGACCTGTACACACAAACACGTGCATGTGCCAACACGTGTACGTACATGTGCACACACACACAAACACTTGCACGCGCCAACATGTGCACACACACACAAATGCACGCACGCAATATGCACACGCAAGCAAGAATGCAGGCATGCACCATTAACAAAAAAATATTCCCGTGCACTTTGATTGTGCGTCTATTTTCGTTGATTTCTTTTTGACTCGTGAATTCGTTAGTTTTTTTTTTCTTGCGCAAGCAGCCTCTAGAAACCAAGCAAAAGATTTTTCCACTGACTCCCGCATCTCCCTACGGGCAGAAGAGCTTTCACACCACGCTGAGCAATGTCCCCTACGCGACACCATCGGCCTCCGCTGGAAATCCGTTCAGGGGTCTGTCGTATTTGCTCCACCTCTGGAATTCACTCTGCACGTTCGTTGCAGACGGAGAAGAAAAAATCGGTTGCTTCTCTCCGTGGCCGTCTGGGCCAACATGTTCCCCCGTTGCACGAGCTGAACCAAATTCGACACGAAAACTAAAAATTCTTGCCGCTGCTTTTTTTTTTTTAACCGTCATCGCTGGCGTGAGATGAGACCGCCCCTAATCGCTGAACACGAGGAACCCGGTCCTGGTTTAATCTCAAGAGGAGAGGACAGTCCAGGATTCGGGCTCAGATTCTCAACGGAGTCGGCGCGGTGAGCCCGACACGGGCACCGTTGGCGTGAGCGTCACCAGCCCACTGCGAGCCGCTCGTCATCGCAAGATGAGCCGCGGCAGAAGCCACCGGGGTCGCACCTCTCTCCCCGCAGCTGGCCGGGTGTGGTCAAGGCTCGGTGCTGCATTCGGAAAGGGACGGCCGGAGAGATTTGAACGGCCGCTTTGCCAAGGCAGCGTCACTCGTCGGTGGGCGGTGGTGGCGGGGGGGCATCTCCCAGCCAGCGCGACGACCAACGACGCGACCTAACTTAACGCGGCCGCACTAATACGTCCCCAACAACTTCATGATCCCCCGCGCCCCCCCCCCCCCCCCGCTACCTTCATCTCCTCCACCGGTTCCCCCCCGGACACCCGGAACGAAACGGTTCGTTCCGGCCCATAATCAGCGACACATGCTTGTCGCTGTCAGGGTGGCCGTGGGCCATGCAGGTGTGCGCCGAGATTTTTGAGATCGTTTTAAATTTCACGCGGCGGAGCCAGGGGGGGGGGAGGTGAAGGGTGAAGGGGGGCGGCAGGAGCGGAGGGATTTTATCGGTGTACGGGCAACGCCGTTCCCGCCCACCATCCAAGCATCCCACCCCACACCTCTGCACCCCCACCTCCCCTCCTCGCTCCTCCCCTCCTCCTTCTCCTCTTCCCATTGCCCCCCACCTCCGCAACAACCCACACCCCCCCCCTCTCCCCACATGTCATCAACATCGCGGAGAGATAGGCACGAGAGCGAGCGAGCGCGCAGTGCGCTTCAGCGAGCAGAGGGGGGCCTCGAGGCTTTAGGCGCAGGCCACCATTAAGCAGAGGCCACGCAAGCGAAAATAACAGTTACTAAACAAAACGGCGTCTTGAAGAAATGCATTACGATGGCGAGGTCTGCCCTGCCACTCATTTACGGAGCCCGCCTGTGTGCGGGGATGGGTGTGGGTGGGTGGGGGCCCGAAAAAACACAACAAAAAAACCACAACAACGGCCTGCAACCAACCCAAACGCAGCGCAGCAGCCGGGACGCGGGTTCCCCAGTGGCTGCAGTGTCGCATGAGCGATGATATTTTATTTTCTTACCTGACGCCTGCAAAAAAAAAACAAAGAGCAACGGGCGCCCGAGCCCTTTACGACACGATTCTAGAAGCGCTGCTGGCGTCGTATTAACCCACAGCGCTCGCCGCCCGCCCGCCCGTCAATCCGTACGGAAGTCCGTCCGTCTGTCTACCTGTCTATCTGTCCGCCCGATTGTGCGGCGAGTTTGTCACTTCGACCGTACACATACCTGGGAAAAATGCAGCATGGAACGCCTTGAAATTTGTAGCATAAATTGCACATTGCCACGGGTGCCAATGTGCAATTTACGGCAACGTATACAGTCCTGTATTCAGGCTTATTCATTCTATAGTCCCGTACAGAACTGTAGCATTATTATTATTAAACGAGCAAGTTTTATGCTATAAATTAATGATCTTCAGCGATTAATCATACATTCATTGCAGTACTGTTTTCATCATCTTTGCTGCTGCTGTGGCTGCTATCATTAGTTTTCATCGCCTTAATGATCAATAATTAGAAAAATGACAGCGGAATAATAATGCCATTACTATTAATGTACTGTTATGATTGTGGTTAATACTCTTATCACACTGTTACCATCATCACCATTAATATCACCGTCTATTATTCCAGAAATAACTATTATAATTACCATTACGGCAATTAACTATGTCATCATCGTTATCATTGTTACCGCATACATTATTATATCCTACTCGTTATTGTCTAAGCGTTGTCATCGCTCCAAGAGTTGCGTCTACCCATCATCGTGTTGCTCTACGCCTGTGTTCCCGCGCGTCCTATTTCTGTTTGTCATTGCAGTTTGACGCGTAGGCTTTCGCGACCAATATTATCCACAATATTGGTAATGTTATCCATGATGTGAAGCTTTCGTGACTGCAGGAATTACTCTTTGGTTCTTTCGGTAAAGTCACGTGGAAAGAAAATTTTTAAATTAAATAATAGCATACGACGTTTCCATTGCAACACAAGCAATCATCGTCAGGTACAAATGAAAGAGAAAACAAACCTAGTAAACTTAGAAATATAATGCAATACAACAACACAGATAGTCGGCTAACAGAACAGTCAACACCCTACCTATTTTTATTTCTACGCTACTGTGCGTTGTCACTGTAACGTTACCGTGCGTCGTCACGGTCGCGTTGCCGTGCATTACTCACTTGACGGCGACACGATCCAAGCGCTTGCTCTTCAGTGCCGCCACCTCGTCCCGTGTCCTCTCCACGGCTGTGCCGAGCCATCGAACGCAAACCAACAAAGTACACGTCAAACACATGTGGCGGTATTGCACACTATGGGCTCTCACAGCTAAAAATGATGATGAAAGGCGATGAAGGCAATCATTATCATTTATTTTAATTAGGTTAGAGCTCGCCGAGCCAAATAGAAATCCATTTTGCAAGAGAAGCGACACTTGGCAGAAACAGAAAAAGTGCGTGCAGGTTGCAAACAAAGGCACAGGGGTAGCAGCAGCGGGGAGCAATGGCTCCGCTATGGTGATGATTCTTAATAAGGATGATACTGGTAAAAAGCTGTCTCATCATACTACTGCTGCCTAAAAATAGCGTGGCCATAATTTTTTATCTTGATGGACTTAAAAAAAGCTGTGTGGATTCTACACGTGGGACGGTGAGGTCATGCGGAATGCAAGGCATGATGGGAGGACTGGGCCAGGCCTACGGTTGCTATACATTTCCACTTGATATGCCACTTCGTTGAGCTATCGTTTGTGGCCAGGTTGCTTCTGAAAAATAACTAAGAGCTCAGCGGGCTTTACCTGGTAAAAATAAAAAATAGTTTAGTTTCCGACGCTCACCTGCGTGGAGGTCCTGAACCCGGCGTTCCGCGTCTGCCACCTTGGCCGAAAGCTCAACCTGAGAGTCTCGCAGTTTTCTGCGCGAAAATCAAAAACGGAAACATCGAGGAGGAGTTACGAAAACTGACGTGGGCGCCAAGAGCGAAGAGTGAATAATGAAACGAGCCTCCCCTGCGACGATTCGGCATCCATCAATAAATCGGTTCCGTCCGCCGTGAACAAAAAAAATTTGCGTGTAAAAAAAAAAACACGAAAAGTCTTGCAAGCGTCCACAAAACTATACTTCTCCGCATCTACAAAATCAACAAAAGGAACACTTCAGACGATTCAAGGGCAGCCCAGAACCGCTTCTGATAACGCTGCCAGCCCTGGTTGGGAATCGAACTAGGGTAGCAAGATTCATCATGCGGTATGCTAACTACCGCATCACTACTCTCAAAAGTGCATACAAAAAGACAAAGATCCCCTGTGTAGCCTTTAACAGACCGTTGCAACAATTGCTGTTAGCGAACACCTATGAAAGGGGTGGGTGGCCAACAGCATACCCGGCCACCTTTGTCTTCCCAGTACTGATGTTTACACATGGTCACAAGGTACTGATCTATAGCCAATCTGACCCGAGGTTCGGCCCAGGTCAATGACAGGGAAGTGAACCGAGGTCGCCGGGTAGGAGGGAAGTGTGTAAACCAATCCACCTGCTTCGTGCGCACGATGTACGTGGCAGATTCGTTCTCGCTCGGAATTAAGGGCCGTGCTGCTCGGTGTGCCCTCTCCATCACCTTCCCCTCCCTCCCATCATCATCATCATCGTCGTCGTCGATTCCTCTAATCCTCTTCTTCTCTCCTTCCTTACCCTTCCACCATTACCTCATCATCTATCCCTCTACCTTCTACTCCAACCCTCCCGCACCGTTCGCTGTGCTCATCCTGCCGCTGGTGGTCGGCCTCCCTCTCCAGGGCGTCGCGCAGGACTTGGCTCTCGGCCTCCACGTCTTGCAGCCGCTCCAGCGTCTCCTCCAGGCGCTCCAGCTGCACCGCGGGGTCTGCTTGTGGCGGCACGCGGCGACACAAAGACACGCGCACACGCGTACAGACACACGTAGTTTAGTTTTCTGTCCTCCGATAAGCACGGGTGGCGACGTACGGTGCAAAAGGCGTTCAACATACATAGACACGTCTGCGCATACGTACACACACACACGTGCCCACATGTACAAACACACGCGCGCACGTACAGACACATACGTACAGACACACCCGCCTGCATGTACACACACGTGCATGCACGTACACACAGACATGTACTGACACACCTGTGCACACACGTACAAACGCACGCGCGCACGTATAGACACAGACACGTACTGACACGCGCGCCCACGCGTACAGACGCATGCGCGCGCACGCACATACACACAGCGGGGTTGTGGTCTTCAACGCGTGAGTGAGCACTCCTACGCGAACAACATCAGGATTTAACGGGCTCAAGCATCGACGCGTCGATTCATCGACTGCAGCGCTCGTGATACGCCCGTCAGCCTCCGAGCCCCGGAGCAGTTGCGTAACGCATCCCTCTTCCTGTCTCAGCCTCTCTCTGCTTATTTGTGCACCCTTAAGCTTCCGTTTCATATTCTTCGTCAGCGTCCGTGTTTCTTATCCATATGTCATAGCAGGCAAACATATACACAATGGCCACTTCCACAGCCTCAGACAGACCATCTCTAGCCCCGCCCTCTTACCCTGAGGCTGCACCCATCTCAGGCCTACACAAGACCTTGAGTTTCAGTGGCTTTCTCTCTCTCACCTGAAGACGGTCGCTTGTGTTGCGATCAAAACGTCGTGATCTATTAATTTTCTATCTACGTGACTTTACCCCAAGAACCAAAGAGGATGGATTCCTGCAGTCACGAAAGCTTCAAATCAAGATATACACCGATTAAAACGTGTTTTTTTTCCCTTCGGCATACTCAAAACGTTGCTCTTGATTATTAAGTTTGGCTTTGCAGCAGCGCTTTCAAGCTGCTGTCTCGCTCTTTATGCCATCATTCTGATCTTTACCTGGTTATAAACAACGGCGTTCAATCTGCTTCATTACATAACACCGCTGGCAGCCCGTGCCGCCCCAGGCTAACCCCGCGGCAAACCGGCCACATTTCTAGCCTGGGTAGGCTGCTACTGGGCCAAGCGTCGTTGGCGAGCGCCTATTAAGGTCGTGGGGAGGTGGGGCCACATTCATTGCTCGTGAATTGAACAAAGCGCAGTTCCAGAGAGACCTCACCCGAGTCAAACCCAGGTGAGGGTCCAGGGCTGCTTCAACTCGTCGTTGTGGCATAGGCCAAGAATTAGATCCGGATTGTGGAATCGAGCGCAGTTTCACGAACAAAAACGCATTTCAATTCGAACCTGGGCTCACGTCGAAATCCAGTGAAACCATGTCTTCTCGACGGCGTACAGAGAAAGTAAGATGGGGGGGGGGGGGGGTATAAAAAATAACTCTGTTTACAGAATTATTCCGGAGTGCTGTACACACAGACAAGGGGCCCATATACTGCGACTGTTACTCGAACAGAAACGTGCCACCTGATGAAAACTCAAATACGTGTCGGGATCAGTTCCATTTTTAAGGCACGTACCGATACTCGCTGTTTGTATCGCGACCTATTTAACCATGATTGTAGTTAAGGTCTGTGTGCTCTATAACGTCTGTACCATCGCATTCCTGCTGCGGTAAATAAAATCTACCTATACCCTGAGCGTTTGCGGTTAGGCGAAAATAAGCGCGGAATTAAACCAAGAACACACACTCAGGTATGCGGTTCTAGAATTGCTTGTGTTTAGTTTGTTGTCCTTCCCCCGCACCTCGATTAGCGCGGTTGGCTACGTACGGTGCGAAAGATGTTCAACATACACACATACATGACACGCACGCCCACTGCGTACGGTCACAGGACGGACCCCTGCCACGGACGGCCAAAGATGCCAAGCGTAAACAAATAATGAAGACAAAAAAATGTGTTTTAGACCCCGTGTTAAACCCGGTTTCCGTAGTTGGTCACCAACACGTCCCGATGATGCGAAACGACCGCGCGGAGCGTGTCGGTGACCGACGCGGAAAGGAGCGCCGCGCCGGACAAATCGTCGCATCGCGCGGTTCCGGCCGCACGACGGCACCTCCGATTAGCACGGTTGGCTACGTACGGTGCGAAATAAGTTCAACGTACGTACATGCACACAAAGATGAGTCACACGAGGATGAAGATGGGGGGGGGGGGACGGGACACACACACAAAAAGGAAAGCGAGCAAAATAAAATCTAAACAAAAAAGCATTCAGGGTTAAAAACACAAAAACAACAAAAAAGCAGGCATGGCAACAAGCAACAGGAGCGGGCGCGAACGAGGGGAATGAAAATTCCATCGGCGCAGCGGGGAAACGCGTGAACCTGTGACCCCCCCCGCCCCAGTGCGGGCGTTTGGGTCCAGCGAGGTGCAAGAGCGGGTGAGGACAGCCTCCGGTTATTCATTAATGTACGTATTTATTTACTCACTGAGCGCTTTGTTGATGGTTGTGCTGCTCTTGATGTACTGGATCTAGAGCAGCATCGGGCATGAATGAATACAAACTGCTAAGAATCCCGAAGCTGCTGTCATCTGGCTCGCCCCGTGTTGAGCACAACAACAAAATAACAATAATCATTACCGAACGTAAAGTGGGCACGCTATTCGCAAATGTGTTGGTCATCTACCTGTGATAGTCTGGCACTTGAGCAGGGTTGTACACCAGTGTGTGTTGAACAATTCAGTTCTTATTTCCCCTATTCCTATCCTGGTCGTCACTTTAATCATCAACAACAGCATCGCCATTCCTTGGTCAACACAATAGCGAGATTAATCACGAACGAAGGAGAAAAACGAATTACTACTTACTACAGGGGCTCAACGTCCCCCGTCGCGGAAGTTTCGTGCTCCTTGCGTACAACGTCTTGCCGACGAGACCCAACAGCGTCGAAGCTAGCACCAGCATTTTGCCGTCGTGAAAAATAAACAACTGCTGCAAAGGACTAGTCGAGAGAGAGCCCACAGGGCGATGAGACCAAAATAAAATCTATTTTACGCGGTGCCACAGACTTCTTGCTTGTCCAGTATTTATCCACTGCGCGCGATCCTACACCACCATGCTTGACGAGCTTCACACGGCTCAAATTATGAGTGGACCAACTTAGTTAGCATGACGGGGGGCCCCACAATGAGATAATTTTGCCGGGTCCCACGCGCCCAGCAAGCGGATGGACAAATTACAGGGGAAGCGACGACAATACTTTTAGAACGAGGCCCTGGGCGCCATCCCACTTAGCCCAGGAGATAGCCTTGCTCCCTACTAGGCCCCCCCCCCACCCCCGGAGGAGAGAGAGCTAGAGAGAGCGGTTCCGGCCCGACATTTGTCTCGAGACACCGCTCATTTCGGCGCCCCTGAGGAGTGGGTGTTTTCAAGGTGGGCCCCAGGGAGGCTCCATGCAAGACGTCCCCGTGGACCTCATCAGGACGGGCTGCCTCACAAAAATAACTTTATTATTAGCGATAGTTTGTCTACTCTCCGCGTCTTGCTCTGCTGCACACCGGCCCGCAGCTCTCCCGCGGTTTTGCAGATGGGGGTGGGGGGGTGGGATGAGTGGGGACGGGATAAGCTCGAGGACATAATCTTAATGACCACCGCCGCCGCCACCACAACGCTCGTCGTAGCAATCGCGATCGCCATTACCTTCATAACCATCGTCGCACCGCAAATGTCCCGAGTCATCGTCATGGCCACTGCCTAATAACCATTACCGTCACGGTCACTGTGACCTTGCGAGTCCAACTCTGGCGGTGACTAATTCTCGCTCCAGTGATCTTCTTCACACATCCAGGAAAGCTTTTGCTTCATGAATGCGTGCACGTGTGTCTGCGTGCGATTGAAGTGAGCGGTAGTTGCGGCGTTTAGTGCGTTGGGCTACGAACCTGGCGACCCGAGTTCGATTCATGCTCACAGCCAACACCAGTGGCGACTCAGCCTCAAATGAGTACCTGGTACTTTGCATAAATATCGTCACCGGGGAAACAAAGGTGGCCGTGCATGGTGCTGACCACCCACCCCCTCGTGTGCCTTGCCGACCCGACCTTTATGGGTGCTACTCGCTAACAGCACTTGCCCCCAACAGTCTGTTAAGGCTATACGGGGAATCTTTGTCTTTTTAATACGTACTGCTCGGAACCCATATTGTTGGGGTTATTTGTCTTTGTGCCTTCGAGTGCCTCTCTGCTCCTCCGATCGTCTGCCCCTGGCCGCCCGTGCCCGTCCCCGCGTGTGGGTTTCAGGGTTCACGTGAACGGTCCGCAAAAATAGCCGGGGGTTTCCCTGGATCCCGGGGTGACCAGGGTTCATCGGGGTGACCAAGGTTCAATTTGGCGGCCAGGGAAAGTCAAAATTCGAATCGCGGGGAATCTGGCTATATGCCCTTGCGGCAGAGGTCGCAACAGGGTACCCGATACCCGTACCCTACCCGATACCCGGCTACCCGTACCCAGCCGGGTACCCAGCCGGGTACGGGTACCCGTTTGCGACCCTGGTGTGGCCGGGTACGGGTAGACCGTGAAGTCACTGGTGAGTAACTGTTTGTCACTCATTTCTCAACGTCTTGTCTCTTCTCACAATTCAAGTTCCTAGAATCAACCCACCCGCGCCTGCAACATGGCTTCATCCCAGAGGTCGCAATCAGGTACCCGATACCCGTACCCTACCCGGCCGGGAACGGGTAGGGTACGGCCGGGTACGGGTACCCGTTTGCGACCCTGGTGCGGCCGGGTACGGGTAAGGAATCAAAACCCGTTTGCGACCTCTGCCTTGCGGTGGTCTCGTCCTAAGACGGCCAAAATAAAACCCAGCGTGCCACGTCAACGCGACGGAAAACTGGGTCGGGAGCGGGTGCTGGGGACGCGGGCCCCCCATTCAGTCTGTAAGCCTCATCAGCCAAGCCCTGGTGCTCGCTAAGAGCACAGCTGCCACGGCA